TGGTAGCTGCTGCTGGAGCGCTTCCTCTGGACAGTGGCCACATGCTTGGGGAAGGTCACATGCACCCACTCCATGGACGAGCCAGGTTGATGGACTTGAGCAAGTCGGAGGAGGCCCTCCTGCTGTGGCCAAGGGACAGCTCATCAGCCAACTCCACCTTTTCTGAGTAACTATCCGTGATGTCATCTTCGTCCCAGAGGCCATGACACTGAAGAGGCAGGGATGGGACAGCTCAGCCAGCTGTCCAGCCAGAGGCTGGGACATGGTCCTGTGACACCCTAGCCACCAGGATGTGTCCCTCAGGATAGGAAACCACGTCAAACAGGGCGACTGCAGCTGATGACCCTGATGGACAGTGGAGACTGCTAGGAGAGCACAACCTAAGTGTTCCCACCAAACACCGACCAATAGGCAGGTGAGGAAGTGGTGGATATGTTGACTAACCTGACGGGGGTCCTTTCACCATATATACGCTTATCAAATCACCATGTGTACACTTCTGACAGCTTACAATTTCACTGGCCAATTACAAATTAACAAAGTATCCTTTAGTTAAAGCTATGGTTTTTCCAGTAGTTATGTATGGATGTGAGAGTTGGACCATTAAGAAGGCTGAGTATCAAAGAATTGACATTTTCAAACTGTGTTGCTGGAAAAGACTCTTGAGGTTTCCTTGGACAGCAAGGAGATCAAACCAGTCAATCCTAAAGGAAATAAACTCTGAATATTCATCAGAAGGATTGATGCTGAAGCTGAAACTCAAATACTTTTTCCACCTGATGGGAACAGCTGACTCATTAGAAAATATCCTGCTGCTGGGAAAGATTGAGGGCAAGAGAAGAAGGTGACAGATGAGATATTTTGATGGCATCTTTGACTCAATGGACATGAATCTAAGCAAACTCCAGGAGATAGTGAAAGACAGGGGAGCTTAGTATGCTGTAGTTCATGGGGTCACAACCAGTTGGACATGACTTAGCAACTAAGCAACAATACATCAACAAAGCTGAAATTAGAAAAAAAGAAGATTAGAAAACCAAAGCAAGGTCAGGGATCCTAAGAAAGCTTATTATCTACCTATATGTAGCATTGCAAACTCATCACACCCCAATGACTCAGGAAAGACCCCCTCAAATGGAGGGTTAGGGACTGGCAGTTTGCAAGGTGGCAGAAGGCAAAGTGAAGGTCTTGGTTATAGTCCACATAGACAAAAGCCAGTGTGAAACAGCCCACCAAGTAGGATAGAGTTTGAAAACACATTTACATGTACGTGTTTGTGCATGTATGTGTGTGTTGCAGCCTGGCAGAACAGAGACCAGAACCCGCCCCGTGACTCGAGGGTGTGGCAAACTGCGTCCTCATGATTGTCCCAGTAAGCATGCCAAATAGACATTCTTGGTGAGGGACATGCTCTCTTGTCCACTTCACTGTGTACCCCTGTGTCCATCCCCATAGAAACAAAACAAGATATTCCTGATCAACGGCAGAGCCTTCGCTAATCAAACTCCCCAGGGTAGCTAATCTCTAATGATCTCATGTGACTTCTGCCAATAAAACTGTGGGCTGAAAGGAACCATTTTGTCTTCCTGTCATGGAGAGCAAGAGGGGCCCCTGACTCCCCGCTTGCCAAAATATATGTGTCTGTCTTTTCATTATGTGCTCACCCCCGTTTCAGGTCTTTCTCAACCACTGTGCTGGATGTGGCATGTGTGTGCCTTAACTTAGGCCAAGCTTGTTCTGAAAAGGAACTAATAAAGATACTACTTGATAAAATGAATGTAAGATATGCTTTATCAGTACAAGGAGACACAGTTAAAACAAGAGAAAGAAAGTGAGATTCTGACAGTAGGCACATCACTACATCCAAAGCATGCTGTGTGACAATCTCTAACATGTAGAGTTGAGTGGCATATCACAAGTTCAGCTTATGTTTCACAGTGTCTGAGATCAGAAACCCTGCAGGTGCTCAGCAGGATGACAGGAGGTACAGATCTCAAAAAGATTACCCTGCAGACCTGTCTTCCCAGAGCAATGCAGGCATGGCTTTCTCAGAGGTGGCCTCTCTGGGAGTGCAGCCTGGCATCCCCAGGCCCATGGATAGGACAGTCTATCACTAAACCAGTGGTTTCAGAGCAAAAATCCATGAGAAAAGCAATGCTTCTAAAGGGGGGTGGGCCAAGGTCAAACTGGAGAGGAGATCCCAAATTCTAGCTCCCAAGTGATCTGTCTGCAACTCATGCACGACTTGGTGAATACAGCAGTAAGAACCACACAGCTTTTGTGGAATCCCCACAAATGTGGGATCATTAGGGTGCCTTCATCCCAGGGTGTGCTTCGCAGGTGGCGCTAGTGGTAAGGAACCTATCTGCCAATACAGGAGACATAAGAGGTGTGGGTTCGATACTTGGGTCAGGAAGTTCGCTGGAGGAGGGCATGGCAACCCACTCCAGTATTCTTGCCTGGAGAATCCCATGGACAGAGGAGCCTTGCGGGTTATAGGCCATAGGGTTGCAAAAGAGCCAGACATGACTAAAGCAACTTAGCATGCAAGCATGCATCTCAGAGTAGAAATAGGGGGAAATCTCCCCCGATTGGTCACAAACTCGATTATTGAGTACACAGGGTTGAGAAAACGAATGACATGAACAAAACTGTTAACAAAGAAAACAAGAGCGCACAGATAGACCCTGCCTGTGGCCCCCCAGCCCCTCGTGACCCCAGCTCAGGGTTCTCAGGAATATCCAGGGGTAATGGGCGGGCAATACCTTCAGGATGGAGCAGTGGAAGAAGGTGCCAGAAGCTGGATTAGATCATAGAGCATGTAGGCATCCTTCATCTCCACCCTGATGATGTTGGGTGGGTGGTAAGGCTTGTCCTTGTTCAGTTCCACATTCTTGTTCCAGGGGAAGAGCCCAAACGGGAAGAAGTACTTGACCACAATGGCCACCCGCACAGATGCAAGAAATTAGAAGAAATGACTCCCTTTAAGAATAGTTCTAGATGAGGAAGAGTGATACAAATATTAAGGGGAAAAGTCTCAGTTTTGGTGCTGGGAATGCACACAGCATGTGGAATAACAAATTCTCCTTCTACAGATATCAACTTCAAGATAAGGCCAGAACCACGTCTTCAGGTCCTGTGACTGCAGACACATTGGGGCCATGGAGGTTACTCCTGACTTCGCTCAAATGACTTCTTCTATTGTCAGGGAGTAGGCTAGTTTCTGGGCTTCCCAGGTGACACCAGTGGTAAAGAACCCACATGCAAATGCAGGAGGTATAAGAGATGTGGGTTTGATCCCTGGGTTGGGAAGGTCCCCTGGAGAAGGGACTGGCAACCCACTTCAGTATTCTTGCCTGGAGAATTCCAATGTAACCCCTAAAGTGTTACAGTCCATGAGGTTGCAAAGAGTCAGACATGACTGAAATGACTTGGCATGTATGCAAGGGTTAGTTTGTGCTGATTCAATTAGATGCTTATACAAATATTCAGGTATTAAATGAGGTGATTAGGACCAATGTGAACAGGAGGATCTTTATTCTGCAAGCATGGCTTTAGCTCGTAGTCTTTAGGAGCAAACTACACAGACTCTATAGACAATTTTAACTTTATTCCACTTTCTTTCTTCTCAGCATTTTATTGCTCACTGGAAGGTCTCCTCAAGAAGAAACAAAAGCAAATGAAACAAAACCCTGCCAGCTCAGGGTGTAAACACAGATGTTTGTAGAGATCGACATTGAAACAGCCCTCCAATGTCTACATCATCAGGGTTAATTGCATCCAACTGTGTTTCAAGTGCTAACTGTATTGTTTGACCCAATGTCCACTCGCTGACGGTGCACTGGCCCTGGGACTGTGCTTGTGTCTGCCTCACTCTTACTGTCTTGCTCATCAATATCACAGGGCAGACACCAGACCTCAAAAAGCCTCCCCCACCACTCCCCAGCTGGGTAAAGTGAAAGTGAAAGTGTTAGTCACTCAGGTGTGTCTGACTCTTTGCAACCCCATGGACTGTGGCCCTCCACTCTCTTCTGTCCATGGGATTCTTCAGGCAAGGATATTGGAGTGGGTAGCCATTTTCTTCTCCAGGTGATCTTCCCGAGCCAGGGATCAAACCTGTGTCTCGTGCACTGCAGGCAGATTCTTTACCATCTGAGCCACCATGGAAGCCCACTTTGGGCCAATTATTTACTCTCATAAAGGCTGTTCCTTATTCCTGTTGTACAGAATGATATTAGCTCCTATGTTGTGTGAGGTGTGAGATGTGAAAAGACAACTAGAGTTCTCAGCACCAACAGCTGCTGGTTACAAACATGTGCTCACCTAAGACGATCCTTCTAAGTATTTATTTATGTGAAGCAGGGGTCAGGCAGGTCCACTGGAGGGAAGCCTAGCTCCATGTAGATGATGGTCATCATCCAGAAGCGACTGCTGGGCCGGGGGATGCACAGCATGGCCCAGAGGACGATGAGGATGGGCAGCATGAGGCTGATCATGGAGGTGGAGACCATGTGGCTGAGGATGATGACAAAGTAGCACACTATCTCGGAGCAGGCAACCAGCGTGTTGTACAGTGCCTATAAGAGCAGCAGGAAGCGTGGCTGCCCCCATGTAGAACTTCTCTGACTCCTCCAGCTCGTCGTCTTGGAACACCCTGCCAGAAAACTGGCCTCAGTTCCTCCTGGGCACTGATTCCATATGATGAGACCCTGCCCTCCCCTCCCTGCTGCCTGGGTCCCCAGGCATCCTGTGCTGTCAACCTCCTATCGTGTTACAGAGAGAGATGTGAGCACACATGTGGTTCTAAATGTCTGGGGGGGAGGCATTTTCCACATATTTGCATCCACCAGCCCAGTGGACACTAAGGGTAACTCCCAGCTCCATCGCTGTGGCCACAGCTCTTACTTGTTCAGCAGCAGCTTGCTGGCTGTCAGCTCATGAGTCAGGGGTGGCAGGATGCTGGCCTCCAGTCAGTCCCAGCGGCTGTCATCCGGGCTGACCTACATTGGGGTTTGGCCAGCCGAGTCATCCTGGGAGTTGACAGACAGCTGCTCAAAGCTGATGGCCTTGCTGTAGGATGGCGGGGCCTCTGTGTCACCATCCTCCAAGGAGGACTTGGCCTCCTGGGCCCACTCGGGCGCCTCCTCATCCTGCTCAGCCTCCACCTCCTCGATGATTTCTGTGCTCCCCTGGTGGAGTACAGCATTGTGCACTGCATGGGCTCACTGTAGGGAGACATGGAGGGTGCCGCCTGGCCTCAGGAACCCCCGAACCTCCTGCAGCACTCACCACACACCCAGACACATGGGGGGACACCCTCTCAATCCCCACATTCCATCTGCTTTGCTCCTTCTGGATAATCACGTCTGGGTGCAGAGACAGGGGAAGGGTGCTGGGCGGCAGGTCCCAGGGCACCAAACCCTCCCGTGCACAGCTTTTCAGTCCCACTGATGTTCCTAGGCCCAGGGCCCACTGTTTATTTTCAGTCAAGACACAGTGAGCACAGTGCACCCCCCAGAGCACAGATTATAAGGAAAGATGCTGAGGGAAAGGAGATGTCTCAACTGGCTGGGTCCACAGGTCTTGCCTGAGATGCACTCTACGCTCAACAGACCGCAGACCCTTAATGGGAGGCCCGGGATCGTGGACCATTGGCAAGATAAAGCCTGCTTCACGCTTCATGCTGGCTCCTCCCTGCACTTCCATCCTGTGCCTTTTCTCACTGGTGCCTCTGACGCCTGACTGGATGCTCATCATCATCCTTTTCCCGGAACCCCACCACCTAGCACGTGGAAGACCCACCCACCACCCTCTGTCCCAGGGTCTCTCCACTCTCCCCTTCGACTGCCCTCCCACTCTATCCTCCCAATGACTTTGCACTGCCAGCTCCTCTTCCAGCTTCATTTTCCAGGAGCCCTTCTGCCCTGGTCTTCACTCTACTTCTGTGTCCTGTCTTCCCTTTTGCATCACTCCTCTCCTCCTAACTCTTCCTGACAGGTTCGTGCAAGAAACACTGGAAATGAAAGTGTAGCAGCCACAGTTGTGAGATCAAGGCCTGCCAGCTGTGCTGAGTACCTCAACACACCTGGGCCTGAAAAGAGGGGGAAACGTCACTTAGAGATGCCAAGTGTATGGCGTGCACAGTGATCATCTGTTAGGCTGAGAAGTGATCATCTAAGAAGGTGCTGCTCCCTGAATAGTATGTGTGAGCAGCTGGGGTCATATCACTGAGATGCTCAAAGGTGCAGACTGCATCCATTCCTCTTGTCATAGACACTGGTGCACACATGTGAATGAATGAATGCATCTGGCTGAGCCCTGAAACTGAAGAGCCAGATTTACATGAGCTCTTGATCCTAATTCATGGGTGTTCAGTGGCCCCAAGGCTTTGGCCCTAGATGTGCACAGCACATTAGGCTCTTGGAATGCCAAGACAATGCTTGTTGGCTAAGACTTACCTTGATTAAACATGGCCATGGAACTGAATAGTCACTCAGTTTTCAGACCACTGGAGCCAGTCCCACACGAGGTTCTAACTTCCAGAGGGACCATAACCTATCACAGGCATGCTCTCTATGTTTTTTTCCCCCCATTTATTTTTTTTTCCATTGATTTTTATTAGTTGGGGGCTAATTACTTTACAATATTGTAGTGGTTTTTGCCATACATTGACATGAATCAGCCATGGATTTACATGTATTCCCCATCCCCATCCCCCCTCCCACCTCCCTCCCCACCCCATCCCTCTGGGTCTTCCCAGTGCACCAGCCCCGAGCACTTGTCTCATGCATCCAACCTGGGCTGGTGATCTGTTTCACCCTTGATAATATACATGTTTCGATGTTGTTCTCTCAAAACATCCCACCCTCACCTTCTCCCACAGAGTCCAAAAGTCTGTTCCATACATCTGTGTCTCTTTTTCTGTTTTGCATATAGGGTTATTGTTACCATCTTTTTAAATTCCATATATATGCATTAGTATACTATATTGGTCTTTATCTTTCTGGCTTACTTTGCTCTGTATAATGGGCTCCAGTTTCATCCATCTCATTAGAACTGATTCAAATGAATTCTTTTTAATGGCTGAGTAATATTCCATGGTGTATATGTACCACAGCTTCCTTATCCACTCGTCTGCTGATGGGCATCTAGGTTGCTTCCATGTCCTGGCTATTATAATAATTTCTTTAAGATTTCTTAAAAAAAACTCTCTATGGTTTTTGATGAGGTCTGGCCCCAAAGGGATTCAGGTAAATCCTGGTACATTTAGGAATCAACAGATTGGAATGGCATAGCATGTGCCCACCAGAGGACATCTTAAATGGTGATGGCATTCCCCCAAAATACCCAGCACCAGCCTCCTGCAGCTCTGAATGCACATACGTACATAGCAGCTGGTGAGAAAGACCTAACACTGGCTGACTTGCCAACACTGCCCTTAGTTTCAGATTGGGTTATTTGGGTGGGTGGTTGATGTCAAGATAAGCACAATACAGCTTGTATTTCTGTTCTCCTGTTGACTTTTCAAAGAAAAGCTTTTGGATTTTAAGCACGTGATTTCATTTCTATGCATGATTATAGTTTTTATCCTGGGATTTAATGAGAAAGCATAAACCCAGAGTAATCTTTCCCAAACCAAACAAGTTAAGGTCTCCCAAGGTAATATATTCTACTTCATAATAATATTATTTTAAAAACAATGGTTGAAAATAGTCTAACTTCCATGTCAGTTGGGCACATAGCATATGAACAGCTTCATTCTGTATTGACCAAATGTGATTACATACAGGATTTGGGATTATCCCCTACTGTGTGTATCTTTGGACAAAATTATGAGAAAGTTTCCAATGCTTCCTGACCCATTTCTCCCCGTGACCACTGCCTACTGGCACCTTCAACCAAGGAGCAAACATATTTGCTCCTTTGGAAATAGTGTGAAATACTTTAAAAATGGAGTACAATTTTTATAGTAGGATTTTTAAGAAACTCCTAACAGACAAAAAGCAAAAAAGTGGTTAGTTGAATAGAAGACTGTCTTGGGAATGACCAGTTGTGTCCCACGAAGGATGCTGGTTATGCTTTCATTAGTCATGCATCTTCTTCAGACAAAAGTGAATGAAAACACACAGGTCACAATAACTCATCTGTGCAATGACACGGGAAGGGGTTGACATGGTAATGGACAAAGCATGCACGGGTGAGCACCTGGAGGCTAAGCTGGTGCTCTCATCTGACGAGGAGGACACATCCATGCTGAGCATTTTATAGAGCCCAGGCTGAGTGCACTCACTCATTTTAGGCACAGTTTCTGGTCCATCTGAATCATCAAGGGTGGACTGCTGTGACAACAGCATGATTGCTTCCACGTAGCAGCTAGCAGTGCAAACAGTTACAGAGACACAGTGTTAAAACAGCACTGGAACATGAGTCACACATGTCAAGAGACCCAGATGCCACCATGCAGCACACCACACACCACTCCAGCACCACGGACAGCGGCCACCACAGCGGGGCTCCAGGACAGAGAGGAGACGATGAAACAGGATAGCACTGGGCTGAGAACAGAACCGCTGATAAAGGATGAAGTGTCACTCTCTGGGTGGGACAGGGAGCTAGAATAATGACAAGTCCTGACCTGTCTCTCACAGAGTAGAATTCATCTTTACAGTTGTACTGCTGAGGTTTTGTTTTCAATGACAGGAAATATATTTTATTCAGAGCCCTCCTTCCACAATCCTGAGTTCAGTTCTTATGCAAAAATACCTGCTCAAGTAAAATTTATATAAAAATGACATTTAAAAAACATAGTTTCCAAAAGAAAAGAAGGAAGTTCAGGATTGACTGCAACAAACTGAATTTTCCACCCCATCTTCTGAGTTCCAATGAGTCAGTTCTTCTCATCAGGAGGCCAAAGTCTTGGAGTTTCAACTTCAGCATTAGTCCTTCCAAAGAATATTCAGGAATGATTTCCTTTAGGATGGACTGGTTGGATCCCCTAGTAATCCAAGGGACTCTCAAGAGTCTTCCCCAATACCACAGTTCAAAAGCATCAACTGGCATAAGCCTTTGGTATAGTCAATAAAGCAGAAGAAGATGATTTTCTGTAACTTTCTTGCTTTTTTGATGATCCAACAGATGTTGGCAATTTGATCTCTGGTTCCACTGCCTTTTCTAAATCCAGCTTGAACATCTGGACATTCACGGTTCACATGCTGTTCAAGCCTGGTTTGGAGAATTTTGAGCATTAATTTGCTAGGGTGTGAGATGAGTGAAGCTGTGTGGTAGTTTGAACATTCTTTGGCATTGCCTTTCTTTGTGATTGGATTGAAAACTGACATTTTCCAGTCCTGTGGCCACTGCTGAGTTTTCCAAATTTGATGGCATATTGACTGCATCACTTTTACAGCATCATCTTTAAGGATTTGAAATAACTCAACTGGAATTGCACCACCTCCACTAGCTTTTTTTTTTTGTAATGATGTTTCATAAGGCCCACTTTACTTCATATTCCAGTATGTCTGGCTCTGGGTGATTGATCTCACAATTGTGGTTATCTGGGTCACGAAGATCTTTTTTTGTGTAGTTTTTCTGTGTATTCTTGCCACCGCTTCTTAATAACCTCTGCTGCTGTTAGGTCTATACCATTTCTGTCCTTTATTGTGCCCATCTTTGCATGAAATGTTCCTTTGGTATCTCTTATTTTCTTGAAGAGATCTCTAGTCATTAGCATTCTGTTATTTTCCTCTTTTTCTTTGCATTGATCATGGAGGAAGGCTTTCTTATCTCTCCTTCTATTGTTTGGAACTCTGCATTCAAATGGGTGTATCTTTCCTTTCTCCTCTGCCTTTAGCTTCTCTGCTTTCCTCAGCTATTTGTAAGACCTCCTCAGACAACCATTTTGCCTTTTTTGCATTTCTTCTTCTTGGGAGTGTTCTTGATCATTGCCTCCTGTACAATGTCAAGAACCTCCATTCATAGATCTTCAGGCACTCTGTCTATCAGATATAATCCATTGAATCTATTTCTCACTTCCATTGAATAATCATAAGGGATTTGATGTAGGTCATACCTGAATGGTCTAGTGATTTCCCCCACTTTTTCCATTTAAGTCTGAATTTTGCAGTAAAGAGTTCATGATCTGGGCTCCAGTCAGCTTCCATTCTTGTTTTTCCTGACTGTATAGAGCTTC